TGTGTGTGTGTGTGTGTGTGTGTGTGTGTGTGTGTGTGTGTGTGTGTGTGTGTGTGTGGTGTCTTTGTCTGTATATGCGTTCACATTTGTAAATAAAGATGTGAGATGTTCCTTGTTGCAGACTGAGAGTTTAGGGAGGGGTTTAGGGAGGCCAGGTAGGCAGCTTGGTTTAGTGGGTAGCTACACTGCCCCAGGCCTTGCCTTAGGGATCTTTGAACCCTGAAATGGCTTGTAAAATGCTATGTTGGTCTTTCCCTGGTCTCAGAGAAACAGGGAAATATACAGGCCAGCCTGTTGACTCTACCACAGAGCAGGAGTCATGGAGCATAGCAAGGTAGCTAGAATTGAGGCCCCAACCTCATCAAGCTCATCCATGTGGTATCACACCTGGAGGTCAGAGTTCCACAGGTAGGCTGAGACAAAGATCCATCTGCCCCCAAGTTGCCTGGATTCCCAGCCCACCTCAGGCAAGGTTTGGGACCCTGGTATCTGCACAAGGGCATCAGGGCCAGGAAAGTGGCTGGGCTGATATGTCCGAGTCAGGCCAAAGGGGTTCTGAAAACCCAGGACTCTGGGAATGGCAGGTCAAGTACCACTTAGCATTTTCCTGGGCCCTCAAGGAGGTAAGGGCTATGTGGCCAGAGATAAACCTGGCAGCAGAAGGGACTGTTGTGGAGATTTCAGTTGCCTGGGAGTGTCCTGATGGAGGTGGAGGTCTCTCTCTCCCTCTCTCCCTCTCTTTCTGCTATCATCTTCTTGGTCCAGCCATGTGCTCTGGACCCCAACTCCAGGGTCCTTTCAAGCCTGGGGGACACCAGGACTGCTTTGAATGTGCAGCTTTTTTTTTTTTTTTTTTTGCCTGCCATGTTTTTCCTGTTCTCATAGCTAACTCAGATATAGCCCAGGTTAGCAGCCTGGATGGTTTCTATCTCCCTGCCCCTCCTGGCTTACTTTGCTCTTTTTCTGTTTGCCCACCACTGCACCCCCATCCTGTACCTACTCTCCCCAAATTGGATTGTGCTGGGACCAGAAGGGTCTTGTCCACAGAAGGTCCCCATTACCTTACTGGAGTGCTCCAAGAATGACCCAGGCAGAGGCTTACACCCCTTAGTGTGAGGTGGCTCTGGAGCCCAGGAACAATCCCAGCCAAGGAGAGGTGGCTGCTGCCCAGCCTAGTGCCCAAAAAGCAGGAGGGAGGTTGAGGAAGCTGCCTGTCCCCTTGCCCAGCCCCCAAGGGCCCTGCCCCAACCCTGTGGGCCACCCACAGAACAGAGAAATGGATCTGAAGATGGGTGAACCATCCAGGGTTTGATTTCAGGAGGGCTCAAGATCAGAAACCCCTCCATGTCTGAGCCCACTAGAGAGCTCTCAAGGGAGGGTTGCAGCGTTCTGGGGCTGCTGTGGAAGCTGTCCTCTCTCTGGCTATGAGGTTTTATACTTCCCACCTTGGCAGGGTTTGGGGTGACTATCCAACTATAGGACTGCCTCAACTTTCTTCCCTGAGCGTGAAGGAAATGCATCAGGCAAGAGGAGAGACAATGGTGGGTAAGTGAATCTTGGGATGTATGAGTAGATGGCAGGCTCTGAGGCAGCCATCTGTGAGACAGATATCTCTCAGAGCTGACTTCCCAAGCCTATTAGATAATACTCAGGCCAGATACTCCCCCTCACCCTGAGATTTTGGAGCCCTGCAACCAGTCCAGCCTACCCCACTCTGCCTACAGAGGTCCTTCAGGTACCTCCTCAGCCAGAGAGGCATACTACGCCCTACAGAGCCAGGTTTGGATCCCAGCTCTGGGCCATCCTGGCTGAGGTGGCCTTGGGTAGGAGTTTATTCACCTGTACAGTAGAACCTACTGTAATGATTAAGCAAGAAAAATCAAGTGTGCAAGTGTTTGTTTAAGCCTGGCTCAGAGGTGGCCACTGTAAATCAGACCATTCCAGAAGGCAGGGCCAGAAGAGGAAGGTCTGGCTGAATTTGGGATGTCCAGGCTGGCCTGCCTGCTGGCTGGGGCCAGGACCCAAGGCCTGGGCTTGGATTCTGGCTCTCCTGCTCAGCAGCCAAATGACCTGGACAATACACTTCCCTCTCTGAGCCTCAGCGATGAACTAGGATAAGGTTCCTGTTCCACAGCTGAGGTCTGGCTTCTGCTTAGGGGCTCTCTGAGGAGGGCAAATGTCAGGATGCCCTGTCACCATATGCCATCAGCAATCACTGCTAGGTGCGTTCCCCGAAAGCCTTGCTCCTTTCCTGCCTATGAGGCCAGAGGAAGCCTGCTGTGCTTCATCTTGTCATAAGGATGTCTGGCCTGGGAATAGACTGACAGGGCCTCCAGGTTTCCAGGCTGACTGTCCCCTACCTGTCACCTCTAGCCTGACTCTCTAGACCCTCCTCAACCTGTGGAGCTGCATCAGGACCTGAGTCCCCAGCAGACCTCAAAGGATTCCAGCATTCTGTGAGAGAACTCAAGTCTAAAGGGGGAAATGCTTGGATGGAGGTCACAGGAAGGAACAGTGACCATCCTCTGCAGTGACTGCCACTCTCCGCGGCATTGGCCCTGCGCCCCAAACTCTCCAGACTCCTTGAATTTTTGGCCTGTGCAGAGGTGGCTGCTGGGCTTGAGCTTCATGAAGCAAAGACAGAAAAGGGGCTCCCCGACACCCATGGCCTCCAGTTGGCCACCTTCAACACAGGCTCTATGTCTGCATGGGCCGGCAAGTGCCTTTCTCCTCTCTGGCCAGCCACCCCATTCCCACCTTTGGATGCTAGAGCCCTTTGTCTAGGGACCAGTCTGTCTCTGTACCTCCAGAGCCCCTGCGTGGGTACACTTCAGAAAAAGCGTCATGACCCAGCCATGTGGGGTATTCAGAGGGAATGTGGGAGCACCCTTGCCTCTCTCAAAGGGCTGAGTAGACTTCAAAGTCAACTCTGCCTAGCCCCTTCCTCACCTTCACAATGGCCATCCACAGCTGCTCAGGGCCACAGGTCTCCAGGTGTCTCTGCCAAACCCAGTCCTATCCCCCAACTTTCCCTCCTGGCCCAGCCCCCTGCACCCCTTGCCATGGGCTTCTTGGGCCCTCCATCTCCAGGTTCATGCACCTCTACTGCTACATTTGGGCCCCTAGTCCCGACTGCCAAGCCCCGTACTAAGTACCCGCAGCATTCCCTACCACCAGCTGTCTTGGGAAGGATAATGCCAACCCCTATTTACAGATGGGGAAACCAAGGCTCAGAGAGGCAAGGGATTGTTCAGGATCACTCTATGAGCTGAGGGTACAGAGATCTGAACCCAGCACTGCCTGGCTGCCCTCATTTCAACCCCATACTCCCCACCTTCCTTCCTGGTCCTGGTGCTCCTCCCCACGCAGACTGATAGCCCCCTGGATTTCTACAGCAGGCACACAACATCTGCAGCACTTCATCCCAGGCCACGGGGCTTCCTCTCTGATTCCTCCCAGCCAAGGGCCTGTCTGGGTCTTACCCAGACTTCCCTGGGATAGGAACACAAACAGGTACTAGAGAGGATGCGGGGGGGGGGGGGGGGGGGGGGGGGGGGTCTTAGCACGGACGACACGACAGACACATCTGTACCAAAAACAGCCACTCTGTACTCAGCCTTGGCATTCAAGAACCACTGCAAGGAGCTCAGGACTTGTGGAGGGCCTGTGGGGTTTCAGCAGCCAAGAAGAGGGTCAGTCCTGGAGGACTTCCTGCCTTCATCTGTAGATGCCCACAAGCATCTACTGTCTCCATGCCCTCTACCTGCCAGCCCCAGGAATGGCCCTATCTTCGGGTGTCCCCTGCACCAAGGCCCCTCTGCTACTCCAGGAGATGGGGACCAGAGAAAAGCAGGGAGCATGTTTGGTGTGATGGTGACTAACACTGCTGGGCTTCTGCCAGCTCAAGGGGAGCTTGGGCTTCCTTGCCCCTGCACTGTCCACCCGTGTCCTACTCACCCCTGCATGCCAGTCTCTCTCTGCTTCTCTCTTTCCTCTAAGTGTGCACTCTAGGACTGGGGGATCAGGAAAGGAGGGATGCAGAGGGGAGGGACACAGGGAGGCTTGGAGCTGGGGTACCAGGGTCATGGTGGGGGTCTTGGGAGCAAGGGGAGGGAAAGAGGCTGAAGCTGCCAAGGGGTCCAAGGAGACATGCTGCCTCTGATTCAGGGATGAGGAGGAAGGGATGGATGAAGGTTGCTGCAGGTGGAACTGGTAGGTCTGCTGTGACCCAGGATAAGAGCTGATAAGGTGAAAATGGCTCTGCCCTGTGCCCTGTGCCCCTCCACTGTCCTCTTATCCCTTTCCCTTATTCTGACCAAGGCTAGCTTTGGTCCAGGCTGGACAAGGCCTGGGTTTGGCTGAGTGCTAAGGTCAGGTCAGGGGCAACAGCATCTCTCCTCTGTCCTGCTTGTGTCCTGTCTCTCTGGCTCTTGCTGTACCTGAGAGTTTGTGGGGTTTGGTGGTGCGGAGCAGGTGGCTGGTGGCCTATGGTGCAGTGAGCATGGTGGTTGCTTTCCCTCTCCACATCCTGACTCCCCGCAGGATTTACCCCAGACCAGGCCTGGGGTGAGGAAGGACTTCCCTCATGGCTTCCCCTGGGCACTGTCATCCCTGCCTGAGCTGGTCCCTTTGATGCACTCCAATGGGCCCAGATGAGCCCTGAGAGCTGAGACCCCTGGACTCCAGGGATGGAGACAGGCCCATCTTCTGGGTGATCTCAATCTCTCCCCGGCAAACAGATCCTAAGGGGCCAAAACTCCCATCAGCCCAGAGCCCCTAACTCCACTCCATATGGGGCCTCAGGAGGACTAGGGGGAGGGGAATCCTGAGCTCCTCCCCCCACCTCAGCAGAGAAAGAGCTAGGCAGGCTCTAGGGGGGTCTCGCTGCGCCCAGAACACTCAGTCTGGGAACCTCAGCCCGGGCCCCGCTGCTCTCCTAGTCAACTGCCTGTGCGCCCCATTTCCCAGAGGCACAGGGACTAGGGCCGGGAAGGTTTGGGTTCCGGCCTCTGCCTTTCCCTTCCAGGCTTCGCTATCGCGACTGAGCCGCCCAATCCGGCCACTTGTTGTCGCCACCGCCTCCCGGCCGCCTCGGCGGCGCACCGGGCTGTGGGGTCCCCCGCAGGGCTGCGGAGAAGGGACTACGGCCGTAGAAGGGGATGGAGGCAACCCCGCATCGGGCAAGAGCGGGGCAGTAGTCGCCCTCTCCCCTTCTCCTGCTGCCGGAGCAGAATGGATTTTAAAGCGACACGAGCGGAATGTCAATGGGAGCGCAGAGCCACGGGCGGGCGCCGCGGAGGGGATCAGGATGCGGGTGCCCCGGCCGCAGGCGCGGAGGGCACAGCTCGGACCCCCCTCTCCAGCCCGCCGCGTTGCCGCACCGTCACCGCGGGCCGCGCGGCCCCGTGACCCCGCTGCGGGGCCCCGCAAGTTTCCGCAGCGCCGGGGGCCACGCGGCTAGGGGCTGCGCTGTCCCTGCGCCTGGGCTACCCCACCGCGGCGCCCGGAGATGCCCGGCCGTCCCGCCTCCCGCGCAGCTCGCGGCGGGCACCTGCGGCCAGCTGGGTCCCGGGCGCCCCTGGCCCGCGCCTCACCTGGGCGCACAGGTAGGAGGCGGGCGGCGGGGTCCCCGCCGGCACTCACCCTCCAGCTCGTCCTCGGGGATGTCCACCGGGCGCTGCTCCGACAGCAGATTGGGCACGGTGTAGATGCCCCGGTACATCAACGCCGCCGTCACCGGGTGGAACGGCATCTTGGAGGCTCCGCGCCCGCCC